AGGGTAATTTATATTATTGTGTCTGATCCGTAAATAGCAATTAAGGGGCTGCTCTAACCTTCTTATTAAAGAGATGATACGGTCTCGGACATGCGTATACGCGAGGCCCCCCCCCCCCCCAGAGCAAACCTAGGGGGTTAGGTCTATTTTTTCAGTAATCATTTACTTGCATTAAAATAGGCCAGTGCACCGTTATATTTTATGAACGTGTCATATATTGTATTACATGTCTATGGCAGCTGTAGACCAATGGTAATGGGCACTATAAGGAACTGTAAAATTGACAACAAAGGACAGTTACCTGCCTTAAAGGTCACCTGTATGCAAAACTTAAATAAAATTTACCGTCTGGTTTATAAATTAAGGATATATTTCTGAACTTTAACTTTGCTGTTAGAAGAGCTTTTTTCAGAAATGAGGAAACTCTAAGTAATATATAATATCATCATTAAGAAAAATGTTTTCCTATTGCTCATTGTTAATTAACAAATAATAACATTCAAACAAATAATAACATTCACGTAACAAATTACACGAACAAAATTATTGATTGTAAACAAAATGTTTTTCATATGTATAAAAAAATGTCACCCTATCCCACTCACTTTAAACACTTATTTGACCATTTCCTTATATAAAAAGCCTTATTCAAAATATCCTTAAAATTAAACACAATGAGGGGCTGTTTTCAAAGTTTGTCTTAATTTTCTAAAAAGTATATTGGTTGATCATGCGAAATATAAATTTATTGAACCATGTAGTTTTATTTAATTAAACTTTGAAAATATCTGGTACCATATTTGCTATAAAATTGGCATTATTTAGCAAATAAATACCTACAGTAACTATATAATTAAAATCAAACACTTTTTTCTTCCATAAGGGATCTGAGAGATACGTAAACTTGTTAAAAGAAAAAAACACAGAAAGAAAAAAACTTGCCCCTTCTTGGTTTTAACCAAGACTCCTAAATTTCAATGTAGTTGGCAATTGATTCTAGCCTATTTCAATACTCTTCAAAGTGGAGGTAATGCATTACCGTGGCCAACCTTAGTTTTTACCGCGTATGATTAACTTCCCTTACTTAAACTCTGGTCATTCGTTTACTGTTGTATTTGTTCAATTGTTTTGTTTGTTTTTCCTGTTCCTGTCCCCGTCCCGCTCACTCTTAAGTGTCATCTCTTACGAGTCAGACGTTCAGTTTTTTTTTATTTAGTATTTAAATCTAGATGTACTGTTTACTTTATTTCCATTATATATTGATTTTTTATTGTATTTATATCTACAGACGATGTGGTAAGAAATTATACCCTTAAGATCGAGTTATATATTATATCTCTTATTCTGCGTCGACTGTGTATATATTGTTAATTTATTGTATACTGTTTTAGCGTGAATTGTAGCTATATGATATATAATTGTTTATCTTTTTATATCAGTTTTATTTGGATTTTAAAAAAAACATCGAACTTACGCATATAGTCTCTTTGTATCCAGTGTTTAATATTTAACCATGTGGTAAACGTATTAAGGATTTGTATCATAATAAAAGGCTATATTTCAATAGGACCTGAAGTCAATGCCTTTTAACAATCTCATGACAAATGACCGTCCCTACACAAATGCGTTAAAGTCAAGATTCAAAAACATACAACCTTTTAAAGGTATAACGCGGCAGGCAATAATTTCACGCTTTTGCTATCGAAACCTCTGAAATAGTTATTCGGTGTAGGTTAAGATCTGAATGAAAACAAAGAACTCTATACCATTTCTTTTGTCAAACAAGCTCGGCCCGAAATTGGTTAAAATTAATTATAACTAAATATGTAACTTCATTCATTTGTGTCCTTTATCAATCTTGTCATAATTTAAGTTTAGTTTCTATTATAAAAGGGAGATAATCAATAGCCTATTGTGCCTTAGCTTTACTACATAACCTCCCTTTACATTTTTCACAAATTAAGTTGTAACGGAAAGAGTTAGATCTTAATTACACTGACGAGTTTATTTTTAAGTTTTAGTTATTTATTGACATTAATATGTTTTATGTCATTTCTGTAACTAAAGATAGTATAAAACATATGTGCTTTTTAGGGCATGAATTAGATTGATGTAGAAAGTTTACAATGTCCTCATGAATAACGGAAAATAATGTATAAAATCAACAGTGTATAACCGGTAATACCAATGTACAGAAACACAATTAGTAGAATTAACCCCAATAATAATGGTAATCTGTCAGTATTTGGACAGTATAAAAATGTGAAGTAAATGCAAATGTGTAACCGATATATCCGCATTTTTAACATTTGATGATTCTATTAATAGCTCTAAACTTTATGGTTACATTTCGTCCGGTTAGATTAACAGGTAAAGTATTTGACTGTGATTCGGGCGTTTCGGATTCAATACCCAGACGGTTCAGGTCACTTTCGTTGTGATTGATCACGAACTCTTTCCTACAGTTATTACCATTGTACTTCTGTTCTAGCATGTACTGAAGTTCTTTGCAAAATCGTACACAACTAGTGCTGGTAAACTGCTTTATAGCCTGCCCAGGAACAATGCGATGACTGAACTGTGCTCTTTTAAATTCAATGTGGTTTACTGTCGTGAGCCGGATGGTAAGCTACAAACACCACAACCAGGTTTTATAGACTAAGTATGATTTTATTTGACTTGTCATTTATGAAAACATTATTATTCTCGTTTTAATATTCGATCCAACGTCGTTTTATCGCAATAGCACAGTTGTTTAAGTGCTGGTAAACTGCAAGCTACGATATAAGTGTTTCGTTCCCTACTAATACCAATGTTGTTGACCTACTCTTTCTTTACTTGTGCAGTATATTTCAATGGAATGACCGAGAGCTTGGCAATGCATAATTTTCTACACGGATGAAGCAACTTTAAAAAAACTATTTGTGTAGATTTCTATCGTTGTTTTACAGCAATGAAAGAACATTTATGAATTTTAATCCAAATGAATTTTAAATATTAGTTCTTAAACTATCATCATATTAATAATAACAAAAATAATAGACCTACACGGTCCCGATCTATTCGTTTTCGTAAAGTCAATATCTATAAATATTTCAACTTACAATTACTTTTTCAAGAGCTTTCTAACACATAAAAAGCACGTGTTCCACGACTTTTTGGAGAAGTGATATATTAGTACATCATGAATGTGCTTAAACGAATTCATAACCGTAAAACAAATGAGTAAAACGAATCTAAATAATATTTTTAAGTCAATGTCAGCACAATTTACCAATATCAGTAGTTTGGAAGATTTGTTTAATTTACAATAATAAACTAGTATGCAACTTTATGACGCTAATTTTTGAGTGTTTCCATAAACCTACACGGCGACAATGAATGTTGGATGCATGGTTTTGAAACTCCAACATAATTCATGAAAGGGTCGATGTCCTCATCAATAAATTAAGATCGATTAGTAATCCTGTGGCAAAACATAGTTATATTAGTTCGTGCAAAAGAAATTATAAATAAAATACTATCAATGCACTTTATTTAGACAGAATGAACCTTTGAAGGAGACATTGTAATATTCCAATTATCTACTGGGACTAAATTGTAAGAAAACACTCCAGATATGTCATGCATAAACTTTATTTATTTCCGAATCAATGGGGTGGGGTGAATTAAAGTATTCGTGTCTTGTCATTGACATGTTTGTTGTTTATTTTATAGACTGTCTAGCGTTTTATTAATTGATAAATTGAGAAATAAATAAACCGAAGAGGTACAGTTTTCCTTGTATGACAACGCTTAAAAGCGATAAGGAATAAAAATTTCATTTTCGGTTTCGCATCCGTCAGTGTGGCCTCTGGTATCACATGGTGGTATAACATGTATAATATCACGACGTATTTATTTTGTAATAGATACGCTGTTTCACGACCGAGTGAGTTTCAATACAAAGTCGCATACCAGAGTTGTTTATCACATACCTGTTATTGTCCTAAAACTTAAGACTTCTTTAACATTTTAAAACATCTGCGGATGTTTCAAAATTTTTACAAGTTTACAAGTTCATGTAAAATGATTAATTCTGCTTAAGGCGGTGCTAGGTGGCGTGGAAGGTAACTTGCATTTTCCATTACCGGTCATGATGAACAGGCTCAATCAAATCGAGCCAGCAATATTTACAAGTTTGTCGTTTTGGATTTTCTTTAGGTTTTTTTTCTTTCTCTCTATTTTTCCATATATACATCCCATATATTTTGTTAACCCAAACATAACTTCATGTTGTGACATCAATATGCAAATCGGTTATTTCCCGACGTTTGACGGAAAGGGCCGAGAAGATTCGATCGGTTTATCAGATACACAAAGTATGTAAACTATTTCGTTCGTTCAGTTCATTTCAATTCAATTTGTATTGATGATGTGTTTGATAAAGTTACATTGTATCAGATATTCAGTTTATTAACAAAAATCAATGTAATGACATATTATGAAATTATCATAGATCTTCTTCTGAAAGAGCCAATCAAGCTATATACATTTATAGTTCGGCTATTGTTTGGTTTTATTAACCTGTCAATTACATACTGATTAAACGGTCGATGCACACAGTATATTAATATTCGGTAGATGTTCGGTAAGTTCCGTGAAATGTACGCTGTACGATGGAATTTAATTTAATTTGAATCTCTAAACTAAGTGAAATTAGCGTTATAGCGCAAAAGGGTAAATCACGAGTTTATAATCTAAGTGCCACAAGTGTTTTAAGTTCGAGGCCGCATTGGTCCATGTTTTTTTCTTATTAATATTTTCAACATATTGCACTTTCCAGTACCGTCCATGAACAGGCTCAATCAAACCGAGTCCGCAACATTTTCAATTTTGCCGTGTTGGGCTTTCTTTAGGGATTCTGTATTTATCTATATACTATCAACAGCCAAACATGTCATAATAGTTTACCTAGCAACAAAGTAGTCACGTGATCAGTTGCGTGAAATATCTTACACCCGTTTTGTAAAGTTTATAAAATTATAATACCCGTAAGTTATATAGACCTCTTTATACGCACAGGATGTGTTATAAATTATGTACATCATGATAATGGATTATAACGCATAACTAGTTATCAAAATAACTATGTGTTTTCTGAAAAATATTATTTATATGACTGTTTGAATTTGTTAATTTGTGGATATTCCCGAAGTGAGAGCGCATTCGTTATAAAAACAGGTAAGTGTTACATTTTTATTCTCACGTTTTATCTTAAATATATAGAGGAAACGGAATCCCTAAAAAAACGTCAAAAACGACACAATTGAAAGTGCTGCAGGCTGGCGGCTGTAAAAAGTCTCCGCGTACATTTAATCAATGATGTTATATTTTCGATCCTTGAAGATCGTTGTGTATACATGTTATATTCTGCTTAAGCCGGTGCTAGGGGGCGTGGACGGTAACTGGCACTTTCCAACAGGCTCAATCAAACCGAACCTGCAACATTTTCAATTTTGTCGTGTTAGGTTTTCTTTAGGGATTCTGTATTTCTCTATTTAATTGTCACATCCGTGTTATTTGTGCCGTGTGGCGGCTGTAAAAAATCTCCCCGTACATTTAATCAATGATGTTCAAATGCGTTGTAATTAATCACTCAGGCCTATCGGCCTTCGTGATTATATTACTACGCATTTGAACTCAAACCGTGCATTATTCTACAACAATGCACTCAGAATTGATATCTATTTCCTAAACAACACCACGGCGACAATAATATGTATTGATAAGCATAAGCATAACAATTGAAATTTGACTTCAAAGACATTTGACATGACTTAGATTAGCAAAAGAAATCTTGAAAGGGAAACTGTACACGAAGAACTCTTCGGTGGTTCTCTATTAAAATTGCCCAAATGGTACTGGTCCGCTGGAAAGTATTGCCGCCAGATTGCAACCGGAGCTTAAAATAGAAAACGTCATCTCCTCTTCAAGCAATAGCCCATTAATGGAACTATACTGCAATGATCATTGGGCATGACTCTATAAAAATGAACAAATAGTTTTGGTTGCTTAGCAAGTTGACTGCAAGAGCTAAAACCTGTAAATGACATATCCTCCACAACCATTTAGTAGTTTTGATGAAACTGTGCATAAATGATCAAAAGATACTCTTTTGATCGAAACAAACATCAAAGTTTATCCTATTTGCATTTGACTAAGTATCAATAGGGTGCCGAATATATGATTATATAAGTAAAAAGATGTATAGTGCTATGTTCAGAAAGTTCCGATTACCTATCAACCTCCTAGGGCATATCAATTGGGTCCTAGGACATATACTTGCTAAAATATACAATACAATTGGAATAAAAAAAATAAAATGAAAACAATAATGAATAAGGAAGTTATCGTACATGATATATCATACAGAAAGTATATGCTGCGTGTGTTGATTTTGCATGTACAGACTCAATCAAATCGAGTCTGCAATTCTCTTGTAATTTTGTTGTGATTAATGCTTCCGAGTGATCACTTTGCTACCAGATTTCAATGATCTTTTTTCACATTTTTTACAACGCAACAACATGAAGACTGATAGCTAATCAAGCAACATGTAGTGCAATTGGCTTAGAGGTGCTAGCTTTCGCTTGTAACTTCAAGGAGAACTTTTGAAATGCTCAATATTTTGTTAGTTTTAAATGTCTGTGGGCTAAGAGTTCTAGAAGTTAGTTGCACTATTATAGTAAATAAAAATTTCATTATCTTTTCATAGCATTTCGAATCTCTAAAACTTTACTGATTCATCAGATTTGATACAGCTTGTACGTTTTTAACAGGTTCAGAGTGTTTTTTATTTGTAAAGGTCACTGGTTATTAACGCATTTTAATTACATTGTTAGATGTAAGTGTTTACTTCCGTTTTCCTTAGTTAACAAAGACATATACGCAGGACATATATTATTGATACTTTCTCCGTCCAACATATACCTAACAATTTTATTTTGACATATTTTAAATTTGTTCTTTAAACATTTGCCCGACCTCTGGTACCAGAATGAACATGAATACTCTGGGTGGTGACACTAATTATGTGCACTGAGCATATTTTTTTCAAGTTTTATAATCCAAAACTACGGTGGCACGGAGATGACATGTATCTCGTGGGCACAAGATACTATGTAGTAAGTCTTGTGCATATATTATGATTTGGACAATATTTAATAAGTCAGTTACTACATGTAAGTCGTGCGCACGAGATAATATGTCATGCGCACGAGATATTATGCCGTGCACACGAGTAACGAATCTAAGAAAAATCATATCTATAGTGTAATTTGAATTCATTTGGTTAATTTGGTTGTGCGCAAGAATAATTTATCTCGTTCGCCCCACATAGTTACTCGTGCGCACGACTTAGTAACTAGTGCGCAAGACATACTATATCGTGCGCACCACTTAATTATCTCATTCGCACCACTTAGTAACTCGTGCGTACGCCATAGTATCTCGTGTGCACTACAAAGTATATTGTGCGCAAGAGATACATAAAACACACACATGTCACCTCTGTGCCACCGTAAAAAACCGCTGCTTATCAATACAAAAAACGAAGACGTAAATTATACTTTGAAAGAATATTGTAAACAAAAATATAACCTGACAAAGAATAATCAATATCCAGGGCTATATCTTTAACATGTCTACTGACGTATAATCATACATAAAGCATGATTTTGCAATAATTATTTTAATTGCTTTACCGATCAGGTAACAAGTATTATATTACCTTTTAAAAAGAGTATACACGTGTCTCGTATGACTTTATTGATCCCGTCATATTTGAGTATTTATTTAAATATTCAGACTTCTATTCTATTCGTAGTATTGAATGAGATTTAATGTAGATTATTAAACTATTTTCTGAAAAGACACACAAACTTAATGTAAAGGTCGTCACGCATACGAATTAGCACAGTCGGTTACGAGATTGCCAAATTCCACAGGTTTCGGCAGATTTGTCTTGCAAATTATTATAGTAAACGGTTACTGGTCTTGATGATCAAGAGGAGATTTTTTTATGATAATTTGACATTTATTGGCAAGACAAATGTGCCGATCGCCTGTGCCTAATTCAAGCCGTATTGTTTGACTTTTTATTTTTGCGACATTATCAATGGGATTTGACTGGTGCTTGCAAAATATGTAAACATGGATAAAGCACTACTTGTATTGTATAATATTTGACATTGATTTAAATCCGCTTGAATTATACATATATATAGTCTGCTTTTATTGACCTGTCAATTATGAATAAATTATAGAACTCATTTAAAGATTCGATCTCACTTCGGTTCTGCACGTCTAGTTTACGAGAAATAATATTGGCGGTCACACCAGCTTAAAGTAAAGATCGTCGTTACGTCCACAATAGCACAGTCAGTTCTGTGATACCTGATATGTTAGAAGTCTGTGGTTAGATCTTGTTTAAGACCTACTTCATCTTTACTTTTACAGTTTTCTTTAAAGGAAAAGGCTGATTTCTTTCATAATAATCTACACATATGGGAAGCAAGTTAGAAACACTGTTTTGTCTCGATTTGTATTTTGATTTACGTAACTTTTTTAATGAAATTTACTGATTGAATATTACTGATTGAATGAACTTTAAATACTTATTCGTAAATCCATGTTATAAGAGTAAAGACTTTACAAAACTAAGCCCAAAATATACAAAAATAGAGAAAATAATTCTTCTATTTTTTTTTTAGATAAAACTGTTGTAGTTTTAGAACGCTTACGTTTTTTATGCTCCCTGAAGGGTGATATAGTTGCGGCTTTGTACGTCCGTCCGTCTGTCCGTCCGCTTTTCTTGTCCGCGACATAACTTTAAAACAACAAGACAAGAGGTATCAACATGAAACTTTGTAGGTAGATAGATCTCATTGAGTAGGTGTGCAGTGCACAATAACCGTATCTCTGCCTTGTCTAATTTTTGAATTATTGCCCTTGGTTTATGTTTACACTTTAAACATTGTCCTGGACATTAATACTCTAAAATTATAAGAGGTACCAAAATGAAACTTTGTTTGTAGATATATCTTATTAAGTAGGTTTACAGTGAAGAAAAACAGTAACTATGCCTTGCCTAATTTTTGAATTATTGTCCTTTGTTTATTTTTACACTTTGAACATTGTCCGGAACATAACTCTTAAACTATAAGAGGCATCAACATGACACTTTGTAGGTATATAGATCTCATTGAGAAGAAGTGTAGTGCTAAAGAACTATAACTTTGACTTGCCTTATTTTGAAGTTATTGCCCTATATTTATTTATATATTTATTTGTTCGGGACATAACTCTAAAACTATTAGAGATATCAACATGAAACTTTGTAGGTAGATAGATCTCATTGGATTAAACTGCAATGCTAAAGAACCTTAACACAGCCTTGTCTTATTTTGAAGTTATTGCCCTTTGTTCACTTTACTTCTTCACTTTTTACACTTTAAATTTGACCCGGAACGTACCTCTGAAACTATAAGAGATATCATCACGAACCTTAATAGATAGATAGATCTCATTAAATAATACCATTGCTCTGTCTTGCCTTATTTTTTAGTTTTAGCCCTTTGATCTTTTTTTATACTTCACTGTGACCAAAACCTTTTCGGGGAGCATCACCCGGGTCAACCGGTTCTTGTATTTTGTTAGTTTAATATAAAGTATTTATTTTAGTTGGAATGTGGTCCGATTGTGTAGGAAGCTATAAGGTTATAGACACACTCTAGAATCCGAGTTACTTTCTCATAGAAACAACAGGTTGTCCCTGGAGGGTTTAAAGCAACTAGACTTGATATCTTAATATGATCACTAGTCCGACAGCCATGCCGTTTTTATATTTGACAGGGATCCGTTATTATACCGTGTCCGGTATTACTTAATATTTTACTCAAGGATAAGCATAGTATATCCTTAAGTATTTCATAACTGCCAATTATGTCTTGCGTGTTTTGTGCTCTTTAAGATAATATTAAAAAAAAATATTGTACTAAGGACACGTTTTGTCGCTTTTATTTAAGAACATTAGTTGAATATCTTTTAACTAAAAAATGTACGTTTTATTATCACTAAGAAGAGTGGCGTTGAAATTAAATCCTTTCAATTACACGCTTCAAGCATCTGTATGTATATACATTAATGATAAATTCGTCGGGGCGCTTTGGGTATGAATAAAC